ACGCAGCATTCGTACAATGCTACATAGGGAACACAATGTTGACCATTTCGATACTTACACTATTGCCAACAACATAAGAAACAGGAAAAAAGCGGCAATGACACTCGACAAGTCATGCCGCCGCAACACAAAAGCTTTGAGCATCCACCACAACCAGACGCCGACTTTTATCGGCTCTGGTCATATCACGACAATGTGGATGATAGTAGTAGCTTCAACTTCCACAATGCCGACAATGATCGATAGTCATCCAACGACGGAAGATAGTTACGTTACGACATGCAGTCCAGTAGAGACGTTCCTAGAGTAGTAGTAATCGTTAAACTTTACAGTAAACATACCAGTGATAGTGGCATCAGTACGTTGATAACGGAAAGACGTCGTCATAAAGTAGAGCTTGAACGAGGTTCAACCAGCTCAAACAACACCAGCCACGCCATAACCATCATCAGCTGTAAACAGCTGATAAACCGAAGGTCTTGTCATGGTCAGCAACAATTAGCGAACATAATCATAGATCGAGACCAGCAACAGCCATTACAATCAAAACCAGCAGAAGATACAGCGGAGAAGACTATCCATTGCTACCAACCCACGGAGCAAGCCGAACAGAGATAATAACAGGTTCATCATCATCTAGGCTATCGAACGATCGCTTCATTGGTTGTAACAACGAGTATATGAATGTTGAGAAGACAAATAGTCTGAGTTCGAAAATACAATTAGAAGAATAAAGGGTATACCACAAGCTACTAACGTTTTACGTAGCCTTTATGGACAACACATCAACGGCAATGCCATCATAGACCATTCCAGAGCACGCATACACATGACGACTGAACGGTCGCATAATGGGAAGGATGATGTTTCCGACAACGCCCACGACACATAATGACGACAGATGACTTAGGACCATATCGTACAAGAATATCAGCCAGATGCAGGAAATGGTGGCATCTCCTCAACGAGGCAATAATAGTATGAATGAGTTAATGATATTAGCGACGATAAATATGAGAACTTCAGAGAGAGACAACTACAATAACCTCCATTGCTGCGATGGTAAACACGTTTACAACAAACTTCACGTAAAATCCTAAACAGTGGGCAACGCTACATCCTCAGAATAGAGGGTAAAAAGCGTCACACTGCAGCTACCACCACCACCTTAGCAATGAGATGAACAACATATCACTATGGAAAATGCCCCTTAACGTTTAACCTTCCAAATCAACAGCAACACGATCGGACTTCACGGCAGACTTCGACGACTCTCCATCAAAACCATCGATAACCGAATCAGCATCACCCTCCTTCATTTGCTTCACATCCTTCTGAGCAACACCCAAGTTGGCCGCGGCGACTCTGTTAAAGTACGGAATCAGCGCTAGACTACCGACGGCACCCAGGACGCAGAAAGCGATAAGAACCATGTAGTAGTAATCGTAATGAGAGCCACCCCACGTAGAAGGATCATCAGGTTTGAAATCGGGTAACCAAGGTGAACAGACCTGGAAAAGGACAGCCGAAAGCATAGACCCGAAGGAGAAGAACAACAAGT